ATGCTGTGGGAAAAGATGACCGCCACATCCCACGATAACATTCCATTCACTTACGGGACTAATGACGCGCCGGGAATCATTAATCAATCAATTAATCAATCCAGGACGGATGCCAGAACGGAACCTTAGATAATGTGACGGTCCGCGCGCAAACTTTCTATCCCCATCCTTCACTACTTTCTACCCGTGAGACATGAACCGATTCTCCATTCCTGTTCGATTCATTTTGCAGAACGAGAAATGCCTACATCACTGTCAGTTCACAGATGTCAGCCTAGCTCTGGAATTTGTAGCGTCAAAGAAAGAAGGTAGGTAAGCCTCATATTATGGAGCGTGATTCGAGAAGCTCGCCTTTACTGAGCCCTAAGTGCCATCGCCGCCCGCGACCTCCGCAAAGGGACCGACCCTCAGATCAATATTCCCCACTCTCTCCGCTGGAGGTCACGCGTGAGGTTGGTCAGAAGCGGATTGCCGTCTTAGCCTTCAAATGTCTTCGGAACATGCGTGCAATGAGCGCGCATGTAAAGTAACCTTTTTATATTCAATATTTTTTTTATACAGTGTACAGTGTAGCGTTGTGCCACGCTCAAAACAGACAAACACGTGGAAATCGGCGAAGCATCGCCGGATGTTAAACAAAGGGCGGTGTGATGACCCACTGGGACTTTCCGTGGGCGTAGCGGACCCAGAGCGGCTTTGAGGAGGAGGCAATGGGGGCGGCGGGTAGCGCCAAAAGAGCCTATATAAGGCCAGGAGAACAATCTCCCAGTCTTCTAGCGGCGTCGGCGACAGGTGAAGCGAGTGTCTGTGCGTGTAAGTGGCAACCTAGGAGACAGAGGGACAGGCAATGTTCATTGTAAAGTGCTTGGGCGGACGCGTTCTGATGGTCTACAAAGGTAGAGCGGCTTTCATACAGGGAACATTGAGTGGTATGTTGCAGGTAGGTGGTAGCCGTTCGTGTAAATTGATCTACTCCTTGCAGGGGGTCTATTTATTTGTAGTTTATTGTAGCAGAGCAGTAGGTTTTAAATTGGAGACTACGGGGTCTAGATTGTTTAATAAAATACTGTTTTACATACCACTCTCGTCTGTGTTCGATTACACCCGTATGAGGCCACAATAGCCACTTTATGGAGATGCGATTACTTTTGGTACAGGTGTACCCAACAATAAAAAAATAGAATGGAGCCCATCGAGGATGTTCCCACCGGCCTCCTCGATGGGAAATTATAGAGAGACGCATAGGCGTTTCAGCTGGTGATTTGTGAAACATATCACAAGGAGTAAAGGGGTTTAAGAAGAGATTGGAAAGGTTACGGGGGGCGCAATTTATCTCTTAGGAATTCGAACGGGATGGGATTTAAATCAGGTGTGGCAGTTAAAAACCAAACTTATCGATAAAATACATGGGTTAATTAATAATAAAGTTGAGGAATATCACTTCTGGTTGAATTCATTACGGTGAGTTGAAAAACACACGTCATAATATTCATTTTGACATTAAGCCAAATCATTTTGAAGTATTTCATTGTTGTACATTGTAGTTATTTCGGTGTTGACGCCTCGTTGGTTGATTATATTATGTCCGGCGCATCAACAGTTAAGATCGTTATTTGTCTAAGTGTAGTGCATGTATTTTCCTTGGAAGGTGGCGGTGATCTTCCCCCGAGGATTGGCGAGATACGCCTCTGACCTGCCTGTTAGCTAGCGAGGTTTTCCCACATCAGGTATCTCTCTCTAGCAGGGCAACCCCCCAGCCGTTACAAGCTCTAAGTTCCTGACCGGTCTCCCGACGACTGTGATAATGTAATGCGTGTAAGTGAAAGGGTGTGTAAGGTAAGGATAGGAGAAAGAAAGGGGAAGGAAAGATTGCTGGCAATCCGTGGCCTGATTGTTAAGAGTAATACCCCTGCATTGGCCTGGTGTTGGTCGGAGACACCAAGGAAAACTACCGATTTGAGCAGGCAACCTCCAAATTCCCTTCCGGACAGCGATTGAATTGAACTTGGCTATGAAGCTAGTGTCTAAAATTCTGCCTCAGTCAGGACTCGAACCTAGAACCTCCCGCTCAGAGGCACTGCAGCGACATCAGTTGACGTCCTGAGCCATCTCCCCCGGTGCTAGATTCAGCGTGCGTCAGCGTCCGAAGGCTGAAACCTCGGACACTCCCACTGGTCACGGCGGCGGCCGGGAACTGGGCGCAGAGTTCCGGGCGGTGCGAGCGCGCTTCCGTGGGGTCAGCGAAGGTGGCGCTGCACTTCCGCGGCGGCCTACGAGCGAACTTCCGCCGACTCGGCCGAACGGGAAGGAGACTTTCCGTGAGGGTTGAGGAAGGAGGGTGGGGAGGGTGAGAGGCAAAGTCCCGGAGGATCTGGAAACGCCCGCGGGACGTGAAGGGGCTTCGCCGAAGCAGTATGCTGCCTCATGGGATGATAATGAGGAAGAGAGGAAGATTCAATATACGACATAATGCAATAGAATGAAATACCATAGTAGTATAGTATTATTATATGGAATTTTAGATACCTGTGGCCCGATTTTATTTATTATCAACACCTGAGAGTACGGGAGAAAAGTGGCAAGCCTGACGTAATCCCTTCACCGTATACCTAGCCTGCCTGAATGTTGTTTTTATACACAGCTATAGAAATTCATACTTTAGTTATGGAAAACTTGCCTGTTTTTGTTCCCACCGGGAAACGAATCCCGGATCGGCTTCGGAGAGCCAACACGCTGACCATGAGCCATTCGGAGGGCAATAGATAATATAAGAGACAGTAATCAGGAAGGGATAATACCAAATGAGCGGGGAGATGACTGAAAAATGCGATGCGGTGTATTGATTGAATAATGTTTTCCGGCACGTCAACTACCATGGTCAACTATTGATAGATTGATTAGTGGTTCCTGGTGCGTCAACTGCACATCATCTGGCGATGATCTTCCCCTGCTGGTGGGCGAGATCAGAATCCGACTGCCACATTCACGAGAAGTTTTTCCCAACCTCGTAACTGCGGCCAGCGTGGCATTGCCCCTGCCGGGTCAGGATCTAAGCTCCGGACTGGTCTTGTGGGGTAATGTAGGCCGGTGTGGTGGTATCGTTATGCGTGGTGGTGAAGTTCATGATAGAGTAAGTTTGCGTAAACATGGGTTGAGAATAGGTCAAGGAAAGGAAAGGAAATATCGCGCGCGGTCATTGAACTGTTTGTTAGTGCACTGCTCCGGCATTTGCCTGGTATTGAGCGGAAAAAACACTAAAAACTACCGATCAGAGCAACCTAGTCTACTTGCGTTCTTCTCCACTCAGTGGTTGAATTCTACATAGCGCTCCAGCAAGTGTCAAAAATCCTGCTGCCGTTGGGACTCAAACCAATAAATGTAACTTCAAATTAACTTCTCGCTATAGCACGCCACACACAATATTTAAATGTTTTTGACGTAAATAAATAAATAAATAAATAAATAAATAAATAAATAAATAAATAAATAAATAAATAAATAAATAAATAAATTTAATTTTAAATATTCATACGTATCAATCACAATATTTATTCGTAAGCAAGATTACGGGGTTAAAATACGCCTTAACTATGAGGTATGCCAAATCGAGAGAAACACAGCTAAAGCCTGTATATGCAGAACGAAACATGGGTGATTGACAGGCGAGTGTTTTGAGGCGCGTCAACTGCCAATGTCATTAGTCCAGTAGGTGTAGTGCACGTTATTATAATGGGAGGTGGCGGTAATTTTGTGAGTGGGTGCCGGATGATGTCGGTTGGATTGGTGTAATTTGGAATCGATTCACGTCGACTAGTGCCTGATATTGATGGATCTAATCGAAGCGGGTCGATGCGGAAAGAAGCATAACGAAGCCAAGTGTTTTAGGAGGGAACTCAGCGAGGGTTGAGGGAGCAGAGAGAGGGGCCAGCCCAAGTCCGCCGGCCGCGACAGAGGTCGTGGCGAGCGCCAGCGCGCAGCCGGTCGACGCAGCTGCGGCTGCGGCTGCGGGTGCTCCGGGTGAAATATCAAAAGTTTCGTCGCCCATCGCCCTTCGGCCCTCGCCCATCGCCCGCGGCTGCGGTCCTTCGCACGCCGCCCCAACGGCCTCCAGGCGCAACTTTCTCCATTCCAGCCGCCCTCCGACTCCACAGCTCTTGGCAGGATTCGTTGGAATAAAAACGAGAAAATAGAACCGGCCGCGAGAGAGTGTGGTTACGAACCTTTATTGCCTTCTACGCGAGAAGTTCTGGATTCAAATTCCGATTGTGGTGGATCATCCAAAAAGATGGGATGAATGGTCTTGGGATTGGGAAACTTCCATGGTTTTCCATAATAAATTCTAAGGAACTGTCTTAGCTATTCCTAAAATAAAGAGTTAGACTGAAGATACCCTTCAGCTTCTTCCTCTTTCCTATTCCCTCGCACAGTTTTGGGTTACTTCCTTTCTGCCTGTCGCTTCAATATATAATAATTTGTCATATGCTACAATCCTTTAATTTAAGTTTTTTCTCACTCATCCCTTTGTATTAGTTGTTTATTGTTAATTGGAAGTAATTTTAATCTCTAATTCTCATAAGGTTTTATACATCACTTATTTATGACTATTAATTATGGACTGCATTGGTATCAATCACAAAGTGTATGCGGTTGTGATGTACTGTGTGGTTGATACCACCTCGATCCTTAAATATCATTATGGATAACGACACACTCAATGCTGCCATCATGGAATTTATAACTTACTTAAATGTATCTTCTCATTTTAGAGATTTCAAGACTCTAGGAGGAAATAAGTGTGTTTTAAACAGTTCAAGCAAGTCTCGTTATTGGAATGAACATGTTTTTGGCACATTAGAAAGAAATTACAAAAGACGATTACAATGATTCTATGTTTTTCTTACAAATTAAATTTTCTTGAGGCGAATAAAGTTGCAAAACAAAAAAAAGTGATGTCAAATATTTGCAAGTACGGTTATAAAATTATATTTCTTGAAACTTACCGAACATTTCATGTCAGATAACCACAGGAAAAGCGGATATAAAAATTCAGCAATTACCTGTAAAAAAGAAAAATCATTTTAAAATGAAGCACATAAAATGTAAAAGGCAAATGCATATTTTATTATTAATCTTATTGTCGTCCAAAAAATCGAATTTAAATGTAATCGTAAACTGAATGTAAATACAATTTTAGTTTAAAATTCAACACAAAAAATGTATCCTAAAAGTTACAATCTCTTCCCCGAACGAAGATCGAGGTCAACACATTTATTAATTAATATTTGCTTTCACATAGTACATGCGTATGGTTGTCACGTGTCATTAGCGTTTCCTGTAATTCTCAATGGAAATAAAATTGTTTCTACATATGCACATAGTAACATGTTCACATTTTTATTTTCATTTTCATAGTGTTTGTTTTCCCGTTTGAGATCTTATTGTTATTTCGTAACTTTTAACAAAGATAATACATATTTTTGAACGAACATATCACTAATGTATTTTGTAAGATAAGGGTAAGCGATAAATCAAGATTATAGTACAATCAGCTCGGTTTGAATCGTCGCCGCGAGCTTATTTGCTCAGCAAGGAAAATCCTCCATTCACGGATATGCTTTTTCACTGTTTCCAGGGGACGTCCATTAACTAACCCAAATTTGGAGTATTTTGAAAACTCTTTCTGCCCCTGTAATGCACCTTTAATGAGTGTTTGAACGTCCATATATAATTATGACATGCATGCAACACCCCCATATACAATGAGCAAAAATAAATTATATACCTAAACAAATTTTTATAAATATAATTTGTGCTATGCAATAGCATAAGTTACAAGTAAAGTCAGAATTACTTCGGGATGTACCAGTAAGTTTGGAGACAATATTTTGAGTGAAGGAAGGCTCTCTAGGAAGTACATTTCCGACATCAAATAATGCGCACGGTGTCATGTATGACATATGGGCGAGTTTTCTGTGCCAATTTCATTAGATTGTAAAATATACTATTAAAGATCAATCGAATATTTTCTTCGTATTCTAACAATTTCAATCAGCATGCTATTGTTGAAAATGTACAACGGTATATTTTTATCAGTAGGGGTGCTTTGTGACACTTTGGGAAGATTTTTGTAAATAGATGTTTATATTTCGCGTAATTAACAAAGTTATAGCATTACACGAAATTTCAAAACATGTTTTGTCTATCCTATGTGGTTAAGAGTATTTAAATAAATGTCATTGAACGAAAAATGTTACCTAATCTAGTCATAAAGCCAGCTCATTGTACGGAGTTACTTTATGCCACTATATTTATTGCCCATCGTCCAATGCTATGTCGCACAATGTCACCTCTTTTTCATGACTGCTGTGTAAGATTCAAACAGTATCACAAAGTTTAAGAATTGATTTAATGATTTTTTTAAAGACATTAAGTAAACAGAATGACATTGGTAGAATTTATTTTACTATAACAATTTATACTTAGCTTTTTAATTTTATTAAATTTAATCTCTTAATATTTTATGTATAGTATACACTGAATGAAACGAATTACGCCAGAATAACTATAAACTATAAACAGTATCAACCTTACTTAACACCGACCTAACACCCCCGTACTCCTAAGTAACCTTCTATAAGGCTACCTCAAACCCTCTTTAACGTTACGTAGTTCATGAACCCTCCCTCCCCTTCCGTCGCACGAAGCACGATCTCCTCTCCAACCCCGTGCCTCAATTCTCGGAGGACGCGCGAATCCCGTTCAGTGCCGGATCGTGGCCGCCCCCGCGTGCCTCCCCCCCCCCGAGCCCTTTGAAATTCATCCGCTGCGCCCGCCGGCCACGCCCTTCGCCCGCGCCGAAAGGCGAAACCGCCACCGCCGCAGCCCCTTGCGCCAGCTCCCACTACACCGTCCACCGTCACCATTGGATTCGACATTTGGACGCCTGGCGGGACATAACGGACCAGTGAATAGGTTCTGAGAAGACCCGTTCGAGGTAATTTATTACCGAATTTAATTACAAAATTTAAAAATAAAACCCCTCGGGCTTCAGAGCGTAGTCGCTTGCCTGTCACAACGGCAAGGGCTTTCACAACGGAGGTCCAGGTTGTATTCCAGAACCATCTCGTGTGAAATTTGTTCCGACAAAACGAGTTTGCTTCATAGGCGCTATTCTAACCCCTGTGATACGTTCTCAACTGTACCACTGACCTGATTCCTTCTCCTTTCACGCCAGCTTGAGTAGTGACGCAAGTGAGTAGTTTGTAATGTGACGCGAGTGAGTAGTTTGTAGTGATGCAAGTGAGTAGTTTGTAGTGACCCAAGTGAGAAGTTTTGTAGTGACGCAAGTGACTAGTTTGTAGTGACGCAAGTGACTAGTTTTGTAGTGACGCAAGTGAACTACGCTCTATGTAGTGACGCGGAACGTGATTCTAGTTTGTAGTGACGCAAGTGACTAGTGTTGAAATAGTGACCCAAGTGAGTAGTTTGTAGGACCCAGTGAGTAGTTTGTAGTGACCCAAGTGAGTTAGTTTGTGTACCCCAGTGAGTAGTTTGTAGTGACGCAAGTGTGACGGGTACGCGGAGATGCACCTTGCCGTTACCCCCCAAATGGTTCCAAGCAATATTGTGGTTTGCTATTGACCTTGCTGTTCATGCGACCTTAAAGCAAATTAAACAAATAAAAAATATGAATAATTATTGTTTCTGTGATACAATCACATACATGCAATTTGTGCACTTCACATTCACAGTAACCTCAAATGCACAGTATCTCGGAATTTCTCCTATACTAATTGATCGACGAATATCTGATAAAAACTCCAAAATCAAATCGAAATATTGATTCCACAATGGTATTAACTATTTTAAATAAATTACTTATACAGACGTTCAATTAATAGCACTTTATTTATATGTATATTTTCATATCCTCAGTGTGTGCCAAAGATCTTTTCTTTATAAATACCCTAGATGAAAAAAATTAAAAAGGAAGTAAGTTTTACAATGTGGCAACTAATTGAAAGTATGGGAAAATACATAAAATTTCACAAGAATAAAATGAGTACTTGTATTTTATTTTTTGGTTAGATTTTTGGAGGTGGAAATACCAATTTAAAAAATTAAATAAATATATTTCTAGTGAGAAAATGAGTGAGGAAGATAGGGTATTTTCATGTGGGAGATTGGTCAAGACGGAGCAGGCATACAAAAGGATAGATAGAAGTAAATTCCGTGTCAGGACGGGAATAGATGGAATACCTCTTTCTGTAATAAATTATTGTGATAAATACCCCGGCAACGCCGGGTACTTATGCTAGTATTCAAATATCTGGTTAATAGGATTTAACAGGTGTCTAAGGAGAAAAAAACTAAACGTCGAAAATAAGCGCTTAAGACAATTTGAAGTATATTGTCTTTGATTAATTTCTGTCGGATTTCGAATGACTGTGCTGCAATAAGTACTCAAAACGTGTTTAAGTAATACATTGTGTGCAAACTAACAATTCAATAAATTCTTTGCTAACTAAAAAGTAACAGTTCAGAAAGGAAAAACTTCCACAGCACTTAGCGTCTTTACTGGTTGCGAAATAAATACAAAATATCTGAAAGTCGCATTTTGGTTGCTATTGTATTATCAACATGTCGTGCTCACATATACTCTGTAAATTATCCCGGAGATTAAAATAGTGGGCAAACGTTTGGGGATCTCGTTGGCCTGTTATGAGGTCCACCTCAACCTAGTATTCTTCCTGGATTCTTCAAATTTCGTTTGACGATGCTCATTCGTTCTGAAAGTACAAGTATAGTAATAACGTAATGGCAGCTAGAGAGGCAGATTCTCTAGAAGCAAAGGTAATTCACGTTCTACGAAACTCAATAAGTGTCTTTGCTAAACATTTTCATCAAATAAGTGAAGTCCTATAATTTGATTTCCGTCGCTTTTATACTAAGTATATAAGAAAATGTACATTTAGAATCGTCTTTCAGGTATTGCATATGAGTTAAAAGGAACCCTCACATGAATGTTTCTAAAATTAATTATTTTACTTCTCGCAAACTTCACATCGTCTGTAAAAATATCTTCTGCAAATTTAAGATCTTTGAAGATACCAGGTTTAAAATTCAAGCGCAATATTTTCTTCGTCTTCCTTGTCCTATCCTACCTCTTACTTACACAACCTTACACTCACATGCACTACACCACCTAGACTACCAGGGAGACCAGAGCTTGTAGAGACAGGGAGTCGAGAGATTAGAGCTTGTCCCAGCTGGAGCGGTGCCCTCAAAAACCTGCTTGGGGAAGACCCGGCAAACCGACGTATGTCTGTGGCGGATCTGGCCAGCCAGCGGGGGAAGACCATCGTCACCTCCCGCAATAAAACATGCACAACACTTACGGGAATAATGACCAGAATTGGTGATGCGCACGGGATCACTAATTAATCAATCATTCAAACAAACTGATTAATTATTGTGACTCATTTAGAAGTTTTGTTCCTTAATGACTTATCTCTTTGAAAAATATTTCCTAAAATAGCGTCCTGTACAATTTTTAGAAAATGTGAGTAGTTGTCGGGAAATTTTACCTATAATATAGGGAATTTTAAAATAATCTTATCAAACATTTGCCCAATTTTCCCCATATTTCTTCTCGCGTCTTAATGAAAATACATTAAGAAATTGTGCAAGTCCCATTTTTGGCAGACTACAATTTTTCAAAAATTACAAAAAAATAACATTGCGAACAATGTTGAAGATACATATTTTGTGTTAAATAATTTATGTTTAAAAACAGATCTCTAAAAGAGGTCATGTCAATAAAGGTCTCGCCATATCAATAAAGGATTATTATTATTTTCTTTGAAATCTCTGAATGTTTAAATATTGCAAAATTTGGCTGTAAAGTGAGAAAGTATGTGCTATTTTTGAACCACTAGCATCTAACGCATCTCCTAACGCGTCTCCTAACGCGTAACTGTTGCATTTGATCCTCATAGTTGTTACTCACTACCCAAAAGTGTCACTTGCACTTTCATCAAATCAAGTGGTTTTCGACTTCTCCCTTTCCGTTATTATCTTCAAATTTTAACATCCGATCGTTATGGACTATGAATTGCCGAGCAGTCAGTAGACTTCAAAAGGTCTTGGTCTCTGTAATCTTTTCATTGTGTGTATTTTGTTTCCTTCATTTGAATTTTTCCTTTTGTACATGTCATCCTCTGTTTTTCTGCAACTCAGTCTACGTTTTTACGGGTGTCTTGTCTTTTCTGGCTTTTTCCTCTCGCTATTCTCGTCCCCCGTCTCCTTCGTCCCATGCTTCCCTTTTCGCCCCGGCGCCTGCATTCCTCTGGACCCCGGCGTCGGAGACGGAGGTCTAACGAGCCCCTATGAAGTTTATTTTTTCTCTCCTTTCTGCGGCGCTCCCGCCCAGCACATGCTTTATTTATCTTCGCGGGGCTGCGGGTCAACTAGATGTATCGGCAAGGCTCCCGACGCGGTGCGGTGCGGTGCGGCGCGGCGCGGCACAGCAAGAACTGGGGCATGAAGGGGAGGAGGGGCGACACGGCAGGGAAGAAGGATTGCAGGGCGCAGGGCTCTGCAGTGGGAGAGCGAGGCCCTGCGGGGACCAGCGCCTTTGGCGGTCTCTTTAAGAAGGCGAGACGTTTGTTTTTTTGACTGCTCAGCGCGTGCTGGAGAAGCGATGATGTTAGTTAAGATATTTTTTCTTTGATGTCTTTGAAATTCAAGCATTGGCTTTCAATCCATCTGTTTAAAATATTTCTAGGGAAACTTACCAAAGTACATCTTCATAATTCAATGAAAGTTTGTTTGAAGCATATCTTCTTAATCTATTTTAAACTTTGGAAATGTAAAGCAAAGTAATGCCGGTTCAAATATAGTTAAATGTTTTTAAATATTAGAGAAAAATAACTATCAGATCAGGAACGGTAACATTATAAATATCACTTCAAGAAGCTTTGTATTTTGGCTTGGCATTTTCACGCTTTTGTCTGTATCACTTAGTTATATTTGTAGTACAATGAAAAAAATTGCAAAAAGCACACCATCTTTTTCAAATAATTTATTGCACACAACAAAGAGAAAAAAAACGCAATCATCTACAAAATTAGAAGACATAATTCCATGAACTAGGAGAAGTCATTAAACATAAATGTATGCACACTTCAACAAATTTAACAATATTAGAGAATATTTAACCAAGTTACAATAGATGTCTCTAATGTAGCACAGTTACTCTTAGAACCAAAAGACTCAACTAGAGTAGTCGGAGGATTCTCTCTCTCTCCAACTGAAATTACGAAGCGGCGTGTGTTGAGAAATCGCACGCCATCTTCTGAGCCGTCAAGGCTTAGTCCGCGTGGCCTGAATGCGAGTGCTGGTTCAGCAGATGCCCGAATGGATTCGCGCGAAGAGTGCCCTGCAAACAGCCAAGGACACCGCGCATAATCTGCTTCGTCTTCCTTTATTTCTGGTTCCATCCTTCTTACTTAACACACAGCAACACACAGACCACACAGACCACAGACACACAGGCACACAGGATACAAGGACCAGGGACACAGAGACACAGACACAGAGCAGACACAGAGACAACAAGACACAGACAGCAGACACAGACATCAGAGACACAAGAGACACACACACAGAACACAGACACAGACCAGCACACAACGCACTCACACAACACTCACACTTACCACACAATTACACACACATTACACACACCACACACATTACACACACGCAAATACGTCGGGCCAGACTTTTTTTCTTTTGACCCTCACACAGTAACCTGTGATGAAGGAGGAATTTATTTATCTTCAAATTATCTTACATTTTGCTGCTGCCTTGCGGCTTAAGCAGCTAGAGGCGGGGCTTTTTCTTACAACTAATTTTTCATTCTAGACCTAAAGTTAACTTACTTGCACTTTGGCATTACCAACTTACACTAGATTATTTTTTGTTATACTATATTATATATACTACGTAAATTGTTATTATCCGGCTTGGTAAATTTTTTCTACATTCACACATCATTCAGGCTAGTTTCATTATATACATAACCATTCATTCTTCTTATTGTCGGGAACATGTCGGGAGACCAGGAACTTGGAGTTTGTCCAAGCTGGTGCGGTGTTCACTCTTGGCAGGCGGAGGGGGGGAATACCTGGATGTAGAACCTCAGCGACGTTGATGGTTTTTGTGCCGGGTTCTATCATGCGGCGTGGAAGAGATACCGCTACACTCAGGCACAAAATATTCATTCTATACAGAGACGAGGTTGATAATAGAAATAGAACTTGACGAGCTCGGTAACATCAGTCACAGAATCATTTTACGAATGAAACATATTAGTGTCTGCCGCAAGATTAATTTACTTCATCGTAAGATACTTTTCCACTGGAGTTGTTTTGACAGATCAATACACGAAATTATTTACTGCTAAACATTGCTATAGAGAAAAGGCAGCTGACGTCTTTTATAGTAAGAAGAATAAAAAATTTTAAGCTGTCGTTTTCTACAGCAATATCTCGTAATTTTGAATATTGGTCTGTCAAAAAACCCTCCCGTGGCCAAGTGTCTTCCGACGTAATCAAATAATCAAGCCAACGAGCTCGCGAGTCCAGAGAAGAGAA